CAGCCTTTTGACAGGATGGTGTTCTTTTCAGGTTTCTCTACAGTGAGCTGATGAAGTATGACCTGTCTAATCCTTCCTCTGCAGAAGAGAGCATTTTTGAGCCAGCGGGAGGAAAGAGGCTCAGAATAAAGAGCAGTGTTACCTTTCACCTCTATGTCAGGTTTGTGGGGAGGGGTTGGGTGACCTGTGTCAGCAGCACTGTCACCCCCCTGGCCCTGGCTGTTTCCTGACAGTCAGTGCTAATGGGGGAGGGTTTGTTTTCTAGCACAGCCCCGTGTGGAGACGGAGCCCTCTTTGATAAATCCTGCAGCGACCAGGCGAGCGTGGTGGGGCAGCCCCAGCACCAGCCTCTCTTTGAGAACCCCAAGCAAGGCAAGCTGCGGACCAAGGTGGAGAATGGTGAGTGCAATCACTCCCTGCATGGTGGGATGACTCCAGTCCTCTCCTCTGAGCCTTTCTGGTGCTCCAGAGCTTCCTTGCCCCTCTCTTTGTGCTCTTGTGGAATCTGAAGCACTCAGGAACCAAAGGAGGTGGATGGATGGAAGAGCATTAGATAGAGTCCCTTCCCTTTCCCAGCTCTGCCCGTTGGAACTGCCACATTTGTGAAATTTGCAGCTGAAGTTTGCTGCAAAACTCCTATGTCTCTGCCCTCTTTTTCAAGCACTGTTCTATTCTGCTTCAGCCATGCTGAAAATTACTCATGTGTATTCAATACTGAATGCCAGATTGTTCCCCGAATCTGGTGTCAGACTCAGAGGTCACTCTGGGTATCCAGAAGATTCTTGTGCGGTTTCTGATGGGGTTTGATTTACTGAATATCTGACTCTGTACAGAAAAGCTTTCTTTTCTCTTGTGCAGGGGAAGGTACCATTCCCGTGGAGTCAAGTGACATTGTGCCCACGTGGGATGGGATCCAGCACGGGGAGCGGTTACGAACCATGTCCTGCAGTGACAAAATCTTGCGCTGGAATATACTTGGCTTGCAAGGGGCACTGCTGTCACACTTTCTGGAGCCAGTTTATCTCAGCTCTGTCACGCTCGGTGCGAGATCCTCCGACCTTTCGGGGGCAGGGTGGTACAACTGGGCTGCAGTGACAACTCACCTCCCTCCCCTGTGTGATGGCAAAGTTTGTTTGTGGAAGCTGTAGGAGTAACAGACTGAAACGTCATTCTTGGCAGAGCTGTTGGGAAGTGAAAAGGGAGTCTGTGGATTTTATGCTGTGGGTGGAGTGGGTTTCTCTCTGAGGTTCTGGATTTTTAGGAGGCACGTGTGATCTAGGAGAGTGAGACAAAAACTGTATGTTTATGTCTTCAGAGAGAAATGTAGTCTGTAAACCTATGTCTTACACACCCAGGGTACACATAGCTGTGCTGACCCACATGCCATGGACTTTCAGGAGCCTGTGAGCAGTGCTGTGGCTCTCAGGGCTTGGCTGGTCCATCACCTGTGCCATCCTGTTTCTTAACACCTTCACCTCTATCTCCACAGGTTACCTGTACAGTCAGGGTCACTTGACCCGTGCCATCTGCTGCCGCATGGCGAGGGATGGGAACATACTAAAGGAAAAGCTCCAGGCTCCATATCACATTAACCATCCTGAGGTACTGCAGCTGTGGCACCTCTTCACCCCGTTCCTCTGCCTGTGGGTTCTGGAGTCCCAAGGCGCTCTGCAAGGGGGTCACTAGGCAGCAGTCTTGGGATATCCTGAGTTGGGAGGGACCCACAATGCCTCATCGAGTCCAACTCCTGGCCCTGCACAGGGCAACCCCAAGAACCTTCCCTCTTTGTCATCCTGCAGTTTGGGGGTTACTAGCAATGTCTTGGTCTGGCAGAAAGGACACCAGAGTTGCCCCTGTAACCTTCAACTTAGTAAGAACCTCATTCTTGCTGCTCTCTAAAGTTTAGGATGAGCTGAACCTGTGGGGGATGGAGGGAGCAAGAGGACCAGGTTAAGGAACCCCTCCTGGCTCTCTTGCAGGTTGGGCGAGTCAGTGTGTACGACTCTGCCAGGCAGACGGGCAAGACCAAGGAGTCATCAGTGAACTGGTGTCTTGCTGATGCAAGCAAAGTTGAAGTCTTGGATGGCACCAAAGGGAAAGTAGATGGGTAAGAAGAGCCTTTCCTGACACTACTTTTCTTGCTGGGGAAAGGGGGGCAACTCTGAGGTGGAGAGTACACTGCGCTGTTACAGCACCCTACACGTGGGGAGGGCTGGAGGGAGGAATTTCAAATGGACATGAGCAAGCACTCCTGAAGGAAACCAAAAGTTGCCCAGCCTGGACCCTACCACAGAGCCCTGCTGAGCCCAGAGTTCCCCCATCGTGGGATTTTCCCCAAGCCCTGTGTTCCTCTTGGCTCTTCTGAGTGTCATGTCCTTCATTGCTGCCTGTGTCTTCCTTCTCAGCCCAAAGCTGGAAGTGTCTCGTGTGTCCAAGAGGAAAATGTTCACCTTGTTCCAGCAGCTGTGTGCCAAGAACAACCGTGAAGACCTGCTGAAGCTCTCTGTGTACTCAGATGCCAAGGAGGCAGCCACGCTGTACCAGGCAGCCAAGCAGTGCTTCTTCAGCACGCTGGAAGAGCTGGGTTATGGCAGCTGGATCCGCAAACCCCAAGAGGAGGAGAATTTCTCTGTCCTTGATACATAGGGAAGCGCCCTGTGAGGGGTGGGAGGTGAATGTACACCTGTACAAGTCTGCACTTGTCCTTCTTCCACCACCACCTTCTTGGAGTGGAGTCAGGAGCGTGCAGCAGTTTCCCCATAGGCCTGGCTGCCTCCTCCCTGACCCTCAGACCCTGCCTTTTTAAAATGTGCATGTAAATGATTCTCCTTTTTTTAAAGTGAGGGCAGGCTCAGTCCCCCTTAGCTTTTGTAGTTTTGTCTCCCCTTTTTTTGTTTTTAAAAGAAGGCACAAGAAACCAGAGGGATTCTCAGACTGTGAGCTTGAAACCTTTGAACCGTACACTGCAGATCCCTCTGGCAGGTTTTGAGGCAAATTTTCTCTTTTGAGGAAAAAAAAAACCCAAACAAGCTGCCTGGCTGGTTTTCTCTGTCTCTGTTGGAAGGTGACTGGTAGCCTGGCCAAGCTGGGACACAGGACTGACCTCTGCAAGCCACAGCAGGACTAGCATAACATTCTCCATTAAAGCAAATTTCTATAGTATTGGCCATGGGTGTGTTGATTTCTGCTGAGGGGAAGAGGGGCCTGGGGTGGGGTTTGGAGAGGGACAGGTGTGTTAGCATTTGCTAAACAATCAAGGAAGCTGGGTAGAGCTGTGGCAGTTCGGAATTGAGCCTCTTGCCTCAAGCGAGGGGCTCACTGGGCAGAGGTGAGCCCTCCGAGGGCTTGGGCCAGCCTGGAAATACAGGGGCAGGGTTCTCCCAGCTCCTTCCCCAATGCTGCCTCTAGGATGGCGTGTCTCTTTTCTAGTCTCAGGAGGCCAGTGGTGGCTGCGGGCCCCGTTGTGTGTCTGAGCTGAACCACATGCCGGATGTGCTGGTGGAAGGGGAGAAGCTGTTGGAGCTGCCCCTTTCCCTGTGCATGGCCTGTGTCAGCTTTGCCTGAGGTGAGAGATGACACTAGTAACTAGGACAGAGACCAAAGAGCTGTGGGCATGGAAGTGCAGCCCAAAATGAGGAGAAGAAACCCTGAGTCTGGGAGCAAGGCCCCAACTCTGGCTGTGGATTTCCACAGGACAGCCAGAGGCAGCCAGACTGGGGCAGTGTCAGTGCTGGAAGTCTGGCTGTTACAGGTCTGCAGCCTGTCTGCAACTGCCCTCAAACACAAAGTTGTAAGGGGTGGAACTGCCTCGGCATGGAGAAGGGCAGCAACAGCACAAGGACAGAGCTGGAGGCTCTTCCGTCTGTGGCTGCCAAGGGTGCTGTACCTGAGGCTACTGGTGCTCCTGTTGTGCTCCCCACACCCTCCCAGGATTCCAGTCCCTATTGGGGTGCAGCAGGACCCCCCTGTGCTGCACTGACCCAAGACTGGACCAAGAGCAGAGGGAACACAAAGGTGGGGTGAAGTGGGACAAGCCCCTGGTATCAGGCTGTTTTAAGGGCAAAGCTCCTAATACATTTAAGTACTGGGGTGCACCCTGAGAGCAGGAGCTCCAGGACCAGCAGCTGGAACAGCTGGGATTTCTCAGGCTGGGTGAAATGCTGGGATTTAAATTAATTTCTAGCGTGCAGCTTCCCCCGGCCCTGTGTGCTGCCAGGCCCTGCCAGCCCTGCTCCCCCCAGCCACAGGGATTAGTGGTATTTATAGCAAACACTCCATTTCAGTTTTCCCTGATGAGGCCAATTCCTGCCAGCCAGGGGAGCGCAGGGAGTGCTGCCGGCCCAGCCACAGCCACCAGCCCAGTGACCCACGGTGGGGCCCGGCTGCCACCAGCTCCCAGCTTGTGTTGATTAATTGTATTTTCCCTCTCCTTGCATCTTGTATCTGCTCTTGGCTCCAGAGCACTGAGCCCGGAGTGGAGCAGAGGATAGTGGCAGAGCTGGAGCAGCCCCTGGCACTCGCTGCCCTGGCCCTGCCTGCAGGTAGGACCTAAAAATAGCCTCCTCCTGCCTGGTCGATGTGCTCACCTTGAGGAGCCAAGGCTGAGCAGCTCCATCCTCCTCCCCGTGCCTGTGTTCCTTCCCTGTCAGTGAGGCTCTGCCAGGCTCCTGGGAGTCCCAGGAATGGCACAGGGGTTGGCAGGGCCAGGCAGGGGCCAAGGGCTACCCACTGGGGCTCTGGCTCTGCATGGCCTGGCAGGGTGAGGTACAGGGAGTGGCTGGTGCTCCTAGGAGCAGAGGAAAGCACTGGGCATGTCCCCATGGAGCTCTCTCCCTTGGCAATTGGGATTTTCCTCTTCCAGAGCCAGTTTCTCCCTGTCCTCTTACATCAGTCATGGGCAGCCAGAGGCCCCCTGACCCTGAGTGCATCCTGCTCCCTCTGGCCCACAGAGCACAGAACAGTATGAAATGACACCAGATGGCACCAACCCCGTCCTTTGTGAGTATTTATTGGTTTGCAGGGGCTGCCTGAGCCCAGCACCCGGCCCTCTGGCCCTGGGACCGGCTGTTCCCCGTGCTATTTGGAGGTGGGGGTGCCCTGGCCAAGCTGCAGCAGGGAGTTGGTGGCGTAGTTCTGGAAGAGGGGCTGGAGGAACATGCCAACGGTGCCAAAGACACAGACGAAGACGAAGATCCACAAGAAGAGGCGGTCGATGACCATGGCCACGTACTTCCAGTCCTCGCTCACCTGCGCAGGGCCGGGAGAAAGGCCAGGTCAGGCTGGGCCTTGGGCATCACCCATCACTGCCTGGACTGGGAGTTTGGCAGCTTCTCAGAGCCCCAAGTCTGCTCCCTCAGCAGTGCAGCTCCTTGGGCTGCCTGCAAGCCTGCTCTAGGCCCCACGGGGCTCGTTTCCCCTGCTGCCACCAGCACTGCTGAGCCCAGGAATCTCATCTCCCCCGTGAGCAGAGTCAGGACAGGGACTCTGCCAAGATCTGCAACCTCACAGTACCATACAGGGCCAGGCCTCCTGGCACCCTCCTGGTTTTCTAGAGCAGCTGCTTCAGTCTGGGGCTGCAGTGGTGGGTCGGAGACCAGCGTAGGACCCTCTGCCCAGGCAGAGGCTGTGATACATCTAGGCAGGGACCCCCTTGGTGCTTGTGCACATCCCTTCCCGTGGAGCAGCCATGAGCCAGCACACATTCTCCACCCCATGGCCCTGCCTGCACCCCACAGCTCTGTCTGCACCCCATCACTCTACCCACCTACCCTGAGCCCTGCCCATCTCCAGGTGCATCCCTCGACTTACGCTCTGGTCATCGTCCTCACTGCGCATGTGGTCAGCAATGAAGCGCACGCCGTCCACCGCCTCCTCCAGCCCACAGCTGCAGCTGGGTGTGGGGGCCGGTGCCTGCCCCTGCCGCTCCCGGTAGCCGTTGAGCCCCTCGGCCTTGGCAGTGCCAGGGTTGGCGTAGCAGGCGCAGGTGTGGGTGCCAGCATGGAGGAAGAGGGTGGTGGCGGCTGCGCGCTCCTGAGTGTGTTGGCGCTGGCGCAGGCGCTGGCGGGCGCAGTTCTGCCGCGGCTGCTTCATGAAGAGCAGCACCGGGAGCTTGTGGAGGAAGAGGGTGCGGACCCAGGGTGGCATGGTGTGTGTGGTGGGTGAGCGGTGGTGCACATTGAGGACGCAGACGCTGGTGACAATGGAGAAGGTCACCAGCACCATGGTGAACATGAGGTACTTGCCCACCAGCGGCACGTCCAGCGAGGTGGGTGGCACGATCTTGGAGATGAGCAGGAGGAAGACAGTGAGGGCAAGCAGGACGGAGATGCAGAGTGTCATCTTCTCCCCACAGTCGGACGGGAGGTAAAAGACAAGGATGGCCAGGGAGGTGATGAGGATACAGGGGATGATGAGGTTGATTGTGTAGAAGAGGGGCTTGCGACGGATGATGAAGTCATAGGTGATGTCCACGTAGGTGGAGTCTTCAGGGTTCTCATTGCGCCGCCCTGGCAGCGCCACAATGTCCCACTCGCCACTGGGTGTGAAGTCATCCAGGCTGGCCACCTCGCTCTTCAGTACCAGGTCGATCTCAGTGCGGTCGTAGGTCCAGGAGCGGAACTTCATGGTGCAGTTCTGCTGGTCGAAGGGGAAATGCTTCACCTCGATCTTGCAGGCGCTCTTGTAGATGGCAGGCGGCAACCAGAAGATGCTGCCGTCATAGGAGATCACGGCGTTCGAGTAGAAGGACACCTCATACATCCCATCGGCACTGGGGCAGAGAGATGTGCTGTCAGTCCTGGGGGTGTCCAGCCTGACATAGCCCCTGGCCCTGCGTGGGGTCGGGGCATGCACAGCCTTCCCCAGAAACCACCTACTTGTTGTAAAGCACCACATCAGGCAGCCAGATGTGCTTGGAGGGCAGGCGGACCTTCTTCATGTTGTCGAAGTCCTCCGGCTTCCAGGTGAGGCGATAGTCCTCCCACTCCTGGGGACAGGGGCCATCAGCCCAGCCCAGCCACAGGGTGGAGGGGGGGACAGGGCAGAGGGGACATGAGGGCCCAACACAGGAGGTATGGGGGGCTGGGGCAGGGAAGGGTGAGCATTAGGGTCCCACATAGGGCATACTGGGGGTCCCCATGACAGGGGA